AAAAGAAAAAAAAAAAAAAAAAAAAAAAAAAAAAAAAAAAAAAAAAAACCACCAAAAAAGCCACAAAAGACGGCAGCGTCAGCACTAGGCTACTTATTACTCCGAGCGGCTTCATGTATTCGTATTCCAAACGACCATAGTACATTATCAATCCAATCTGCAATATACAGACATGCATGCAATTGTCTGCTATATATTCTGGAACGTACAGACATTATACATACATGCATGTTCAATTTATTGATGTAACAAGTTATAAGGTAAGGAATTATTAGAAGCAGAAAAGGCGGTTGGCCTCTTAACAAAACGACCCTTCATTCTTGGTCTGTTCTCTGCATTTAACTTCCTAACTTGGTAACGAATCTTCTTAGAAAACAACCTTGTCCTTCTCTTTTCTTTATATCTCAACACTCTTGCTTCTCTTTCTGCATCATTGTTATTATTATTATTATTATTATTATTCCCTCCTATTCTTCCTCCACACCATTCCGAGCTTCCTCCCGACCATTCATCCTGCACCTCACATTCATACTTTTATTCATAAAAAATATGAAATGTATATACATATAAATACAACTGTACGTTGAAATTGATAATGCACTTTATAGAAGTGTATCCACATGCATGTATAATAATATATATATGATAGGATACAGGAATAGTCAAATATATGAATAGGCAAATACATACATGATTATCTAGTATTCGTGATGAATCTTATTTAATGTAATACATGTACCTCGTATGCCTAGACGAATATAAATAGGTGTATGATTGTGTTTGTAATTTAACATCATGCATTCACATGTATTTCCGCAAAAATATATATCCAACATAACATATACATACCATGAATTGATCAAGATTGTCGAACTGCGGTGGAGTTCCGTTTGTCCATGGGCAACCTTTTGTAGCCCAAGCAGCGATTACTGCTTCATAATTTAGCCTTAGAAACATATTATTATTATTATGTGATTCACTTCTGCTGCTCATGTCTTCCTCCTCAGATTTTGTCTTTTCTCCCGCCTCGTAATTATTACATGCTGCTATGACATCATCTTCAACCTTCATTCTTTTTGCGCCATCTACGAATTCATCATTAATAATAATGCCCTTGTTTTGATCATCCTGATGATCAAATAGACCAATATTAATATTAGAACAATCCTCTTCATCAATTAGTAAACTGTCAACATCGGCTGCAAACAGATCCTCGTCGCAGCTACCCAAAAGCTCTGCAAGATTCAAATCAAGACACCCTTCAGCATCATCCTCGTGCTCCGGAAGCATATTATTAGCATCTTCTTCATTAAAGAAGTCTTGGCCAAAAGGGTCGAAAACCGGAACCCTATAGAGTAGAAACTGGCCTCCTTCGTTGTCCTCCTCCGCAAAAGGGTCTTCGTGAGCGTCAATCTCCGGGACAGGTGGAAGCAGCTGATTGGCCGGTGGATATTCATGAAGCAGACGTTTCGTCGTCGGCTTCCCATGTCTAGGGGTTCTGGCCTTTCGTGTAGTGAAGCCTTGCTGCCAGGCTGGCGCATTTGCAGGTGGTGAAGCATTAGAGGTTTTGTCAAGGCGAACCCTGTCGTGTCGACTAGCCAACTGATTGGCCGAATGCACAGAAGCATCGCACGATTGGCAAAGAAAAGCATCGTCAGCTGCACAAAACCAACGAGCCCTCTTCACCAAACAGCTGTCGCATGCCCTTGCACTCTTGCCTCCAAGGGCATTTGAAACTTTACTACTGTCACTACTCATTATTCGCGATATACATACACAGCTCACTCAAACACGTATTTCGATAAATTGATGTTTGTATAATATACACACGTAAAGCTCGCCGACTAATATTGAAGAGGAAATATGCATGCAGTTTTGATGGTTTAATTTGCTACGATGAATGAATGAATGAATCACTTTATTTTAGGGGGACCAAAATGCAATTCTTATCTGGTTTCTGATTGGCTGAAACTCTCATGTTGATCTTAAAGAATGCATTCTGATTGGCTGTGTGTCCTAATATGGGAATCCTAATGCATGGCTACAACGTAACCAATGGCCAATGGGTATGGGCCGGGCAACTATTTTGGCAGCTTATTATATGTTTCTTTTTTGTCTTCACAAGTTGATGTAACAACTTTATATAATAATAATTACTTTGTGTTTGTTTTTTTTTGTATTTGTGGTTCAATTAATTAACATTATATTCCTATTTGTAATTTCAAACTTTAGTTTTGTGGTCCTGTAATATATAGAGTTATGGTTGCCTTTAACCTTTCTCTCACTATCGTTGCTCAATTCTCAAATGGTTTTAACCTTTCTTCTCCACTTGGTTCCTTATATAGGATGTGACAGATTTATTCAAATTTATTACCAATATTATTTTTTGTGTTAACATATAGTCCTTTAATTTTCTTGTCCCTTGGTGTCACATTATGGGTGGCGAGTCGACCACGGCGATACTATTTAGTTTTTAATAAAAATACAAAAAAGAAAAAAATATTATACTAAAAACACTATATGTAACATTAAAAATATTACATAGTTTTATATTTCAGTATCACACAAGTATAAATAAATAAAAGTGCTAAAGTGTAATAATTAAAATACTACGAACAATATTAAAAACAATATGTACTATGACTCACATGCGCGTCTGTATATTGAACGAAATAAAGTAGAGCGTGATATTCAAGTAAAAGTAAGAGGTATTTTCAGGGGTTTTTTACGACGGTATATACCTATATATTATAGTGTCTGAAAATTCATATAGAAATTGATCAATAAACCAAATATTTATGGATTATAGATTAATAGAGAGTTAGTATATATTTTGTTTAATTCCTTGGTCTGTTTAATATGCATGTGGACCTTACCTTGCTGCACATAAAGTCCTTCTGTGCCCCTTTGTGTCAGGGAATGGTGGCGAGTTGGCCACGACACGTTGTATTATATCTTACGGTTAATGTCACTTTGGGCTATGTTTGCTGGTGAACGATATTGTAGAAAAAATAAATTTTAGGTGTTTATTTGAGATAGCCCGTGAGGCCTTGGTCCAAGTATTTTAATTTTTTTACATAACCCATTATTTTTCCAAGTTTCATTTGATATTAAATAGTTTCATTATACCCATTTATTATTTTTATTTATTTAAATATTAAAAAAACAATTTTTTTCTTAGATTAATTTTTTTTCGGGCAGTGGCCTTGATGGTCGGAGCCGCGGTTAGCTGACTCACCATTATTTAATTACAATTAGTTGACATTGTATTTTTTTTTCTTTTGCCATTTTTTTTCTTTCAATTTTTTTTCCGGCGGCGGGTCGTCGGAGCTCTGGTTAGCTGACTCAACATTAGTTGACATTCCATTTGTTTTTCTTTTATCCTTTTTTTTTTTATTTAAATTTCTTTTCTCTAGCGGCGGATAATCGAAACTCCGATTAGTTAACTTGAATTAGCTAACTTCAACATTAGCTGACGGCCAACTCTTTTCTTTTATCTTTTTATTTTTTTCCAGCAATGGGACATCAGGCTCTGATTAGCTGACTATGCATTAGTTAAGTTCGCATTAGCTGACTTTAATTTTCATTAAGTGACATTCGATTTTTTTTTCTTTTAACACTTATTTTCGGCGGCCGGGTATTTATGGCTCTGATTAGTTGACACCTGAATGTTTTAGTCTCAAATCAGCTAATCGTAGCTCCGATGATCCGCCATCAAAGGGAAAAAAAAAGAAAAAAAAAAGTTGAATGTCAACTAATGTTGAAGTTAACTACTGCTGAGTCAGCTAATTAACTAGAGATCCGACGACCAGCCGCTAGAGTTTATTAATATTGAGTCAGCTAACCGGAGTTCCGACGACCCACCACCAGAAAAAAATTAAAAGAAAAAAAAAACCCTACAATTTTCGACACATACAGGGCGAATTTTTTGTCAATTTTCGACACCAACTTGTGGGGGAAAAAAATGAAGTTTGACACCAACATGTCGAAATTTCACCCAAAATCAACATGTATGTGTCGAAAAACCACTGCTAGTTTAAAATTTAATTTTCTTTAAGCAGTGATTTTTCGTCACATACAAGTCGATTGTGTGAAATTTCGACATGTTGGTGTCGAAAATTGACAAAAAATCGACATGTATGTGTCGAAAATTGTCAATGGGGTTAAAAAAAGAAAACTTCAAAATCAACTTCCAAACTAAAAAAAAAGACATGTATACATACTTTAATGGGTTCCCCTACCATGTAAACTACCATTTTGATGTTTTGTGACTCCATTTTATAAGTTTTGTGTGGTTTGAATTTTGAGTTTTTTTTTTTTAGGGTTTGTAAGAAGATGAAGAAGAAGAGAGTTTTTTCTTTTTTTTCTTTTTTTATTCTTTGATATTGAAATGAGGAAAAACAAAATTTGTTTGTATAAATTGTATTTTGTTTGATAAGGGTATTTTAGTACTTTGCTAATAAAAAACTGATAAGGGTATTTTAGTACTTTGCTAATAAAAACATTTATTTATGGTATTAATCTAAGAAAAAAATGTAAAAACTTCTATAAAATATGGTATTAAACTTAGTGGTATTGAAATGAGAAAAAAATGGTGTTAGTTTTAGCCGCCCCCTTTGGGTTATTCTTGTTATGAAATATTTATGTCGATGTCCAAATGAAGAGACACCATCATATGAAGGGTCAACAACATTTAGTGTCTATATTGAAAGGGTTTTAAGTTTCTTTAATCTTCTTTAATCTTCTTGTAACTCATGACCTTATAATGGTCTTCCTTGCACTGTATGTTTGGCACTATGGCATGTGCTTTGTGCACACTTACACATATTGAATAACATTTTACATATTCTCCCTACTTTGTTATCCACTTCTTGTATATTTATTATTAGTTCTCAACAATTCTGTTCCGAAAATTGATATTAAAAAATCTTCATTATATTCATGTTCATTGGCATTCAATGGTTACATGGAAATTATGCTTACAATAAATATTTTATTTTAGTTTCCAAGTTCGTCGGTCATTGATATTATTACATATCAATTATCAAATTTATTACTTTACCATTTTGAAGAAAAGTTTATTGTCATCATAGTAGTTTTCAAATTATGATATATTTTATGTGGAAATCTTTTGAATTATTATTAAATCATTGTACATTTAAGTGAATTATTATTAAATATTTTGAATTATTATTAGATATAGCATTAAATTACTAAATAGTTTTTTTCAATTTTTTTTTTTAATTTTGATTTATAAAAAAAATGGTTCTTTTTTTCCTTTTTTTTTTCTTTTATTTCAGCCTTTTTTTCTAAATCGGTTTTTCTTTCTAGCATGTTTGCCAAATTTTTTTTTTGTGATAAGTAAAAGATATATTAATTAAAAGCGGGGCAAATATCAACAATGGGATAACCCCCATCACAAAAGCAATTACAAGGAAGCGAAGATAGATGGATAAAACCGTTCCAATGCAAAGAAGCTGCCCATTGAGCAATATTGTGTGCAGCAAAATTTGCATTACGAGAACAAAACTTGAATCTCCTTTTCGGCCAAAGAGACCAATAACGTCTGATTTCCTTAATGAGAATGTTCGCACTCCATTGAATGATCGAGGAAAGATCAGTAATGTAAGTAATTGCGTTGAGGCAATCCGATTCGAAAATCACATTATCCACCTTTGCATTTTGAATGAACAGACACGCACTTTTAATTGCAAGAGATTCAGCAGCAAGAGAATCGAGGCATTTATGTTCCATTGAGTATGCAAAAAGTGTAGAGCCATTGATGTTACTAATCACAAAAGCAATCTGAGCAGATCCATCAACAAATTTGTTGTCTGAGTTGATTCTGAGCCAACCAATGGGAGGAGCTTTCCAGGAATGCGAAATGTTATTGCCGGCGGTGGTGATTTTGGAGAGCTGACTTTTCCAATGGGAGCTAGCCAAACTTCCAATCTTTTTTGACAAATCCTCTATGGAAGACAAATTAACCAAATTAATAGAAACAATTGGGCTATGAATGATATCATTTTTTTTTCTCCAAATAAGATCAAAAGTAACTGCAACAAAAACAAGGAATTCTTTTCTCATAAGCTCAGAAGAGAATAGTTTTCCATTTTTCTTAAGAACAAGTTCAAGCCACATTTTAATTGGTTCATTTCTAAAAGGCTCAATACGAAAGTTCCATTTAGAGATGAACCAAAGATGGGCAACAAACGGGCATTTAAGAAAAAGATGGTCAATAGATTCAACTTCAGATCCACACAAAGAGCAAAGGATATTAGAAACTGGAAAAAAAGAATTTAACTTGGCAGAAGTCGGGAGGGCATCGTTAATAGTTTTCCATAACAACAATTTGTGTCTATTATGTAAGTTAGCACTCCAGAGGCTTTTCCAAGGAAAAAGGTAAGGGCGAGAATGAGAAAAACGAAGGGAGTTATCAGTGAGATAAGCACTTTTAACGGAAAAGTTCCCTGACAAGGAGGGAGCCCAGAAAAGGCTTTTGGGGTGGGAACAAGGAGAAATATTAATCTTAATAATCTCAGTAACCACTTCAGGAGGAAAAGTCTCATTGAGAAGACGAGTGTTCCAAGAACTTGAGTTGGCAATCATCAAGTCTTTAACCAAAGAGAGACAAGGAGGCGAAACAGGAGAAATAGAGGTAATCCATGGATACTGAAAGCAAGCACCTTTAACAATAAGATCCCTAGATTTAAAAATACTTCTCCAAATCCAAGATGCATTTGAAGGAGAGGACTCAAGGGTGAGAAGGTTATGGTGCCTAAGATACTTAGCAGAGAGCGTTTTAACCCAAAGACAGTCAACATTAGAAGCAATATACCACCCCAATTTAGACACAAGAGCTTTGTTCATGTCAGCCGTTCGTTTGA